TGCCAATGGAAGCTTTTCTTTCCCAGGTGCCCTTGCGGCCCCATCCCTGTCCCTGAACCCCCAGAAGCAGGAGTACTTCCCCGGAGACACTGTTGAAATCAAGTGCTCTGCTCCTCCTTCGGTGGATAGAGTTGAAGGATTCCAGTACTACAGCAATATCGGAAGGGCCATCTCAGTCCCAGCTTCATCCAGGAGAAGCCATACTTACAACATAAACCTCACAGGGCCTAAGGATGGGGGGTCGTACCAGTGCGACTACTGGATAGGTCAAGCCGGTTCTTGGAACAGGTCCAGCAGGAGTGACGCTGTCCTCATCAGAGTAAAAGGTGAGCTCTGCACAGTCTCTACCATTCCTTAGGGTCAGAGGTGAACACTTCCAAGATGCATAAAGACATAAGTGGACAAAAGTATGGCTAGGAACCAACCAACAGCACAGTCCCCCAACTTGCCATTCAGTTCCCAACTACGGCTGCCCAACATGACTAATCCCTCCGTGAATACAGCCACACAGTATGGCTGACCAACTGCCAACAACATGGCCACTCAACATGGCTGCCCAGCTACCAACAACCTGGCTACCCCATTACAAACAACATGGCCACCCATCATGGCTGACCAGCTGCCAATATATGGCCCTCCAATATAGTTTCCCCACTACTGACAACATGGCCATCCAATATTGGTTGCCTACCACACTAGAATTCTGGGTCTGGACAAGAGCTCCTAGGCACTATGATAATACAAATAAATAATAATTGCTACCCAATTGCTGACAACAACCTACTGCCACTAACATGGGCAGCCAACACAGCTGCAAAACTGATATCAAACATCTCAGCTTTCAGAAATATGGCTTCCGAACTACTGACTAAACCCCACCCCCCAGCCATGACTGCCAAAAATATAGGCTACCAACATGTCTGACCAATTGACAACACAATCTCCAGGCTTCCAGAAACGTGACTCATTAACATGCTTATCCAAAAGCTGGGAACACCCTCAGCCATTGTACAAATACTATGCCAAATTATGGAAATCAGGCTGCCAACAATAGTCACCAAACATGCCCTTCACTTCCCACATAAAGGTAACCAAAATGGCTGCCAAACTATCAACAAAATGGCAACCCAGTATGGCTATCCAACTACAAACAACATGGCCAAACACTATGGCAATGCAACAGACACAGTCAACAACATGGCTGACAAAAAGCTGACAGTATGGCCGCCTCACATGGCCGCTCAACATGGCTGCCCAATGGCCAGCAACATGAGACTCATCATGACTATCCAACAGCCAGCAATATAGCAATTCATCATGCCTACCCAACAGCCAACAACATGGCACCCAACATGACTACTTGACTGTCACTAGCATGGAGATCCAGCATATGCCCCACATTCAGCACAACCTGATACATAAAGCACATAAAAGGTTGTTACAAGGAGGAGGGAGAAGAATTGTTCTTCTTAACCTCTGAGGATAGGACAAGAAGCAATAGGGCTTAAATTGCAGCAAGGGTGATTTAGGTTGGACATTAGGAAAAAACTTCCTAACTGTCAGAGTGGTTAAGCACTGGAATGAATTGCCTAGGGAGGTTGTGAAATCTCTGTCATTGGAGATTTTTAAGAGCAGGTTAGACAAACACCTGTCAGGGATGGTCTCGTCCTGCCATGAGTACAGGGGACTGGACAAGATGACCTCTCGAGGTCCCTTCCAGTCCTATGAGTCTATGATATCTAAGTTCCCAGAACCTGTTCCCTAACATGACAAACTAATGGCTAACAACACTCACCTTGTAGAATCTGGAGGAAGGAATAAACCCTGGACTCTCACTCGCAGCTACGCAAAGGTCCTCATGTAGGGAGTCATGAGGTATCAGTTTGAATCTTACCAGTGTTGAGTTTGGGGCAACATCTCTGCTTTCCCCCCATGTCAACCCCCCACCCCACCCCCAATTCATTCTTGTTGCCTCTCCTACCTTCAGACTTCCCTCCCTGGCCGGCGTTGAGTGTGGATCCTCCGTCCGGAGTGGTGAGCGAAGGGCTCCCCCTGCTCATCATCTGCACGGCCCCCAGCAATGCTAGTGAGCGAAGGTTTCACTTCTACAAGGAAGGAGCTGAGCTCATCCCTGGGGACGTGGGGTCTGAGGTCAGCACCACAGAGACCAGGACCGGATCTATGATGCTCAGCATCCCGCGAGCTGGTCCCTACAGCGCCGGGGAATTCACCTGTGCGTACGAGGAGAACATGAGCGGGAGGTGGATTCTGTCCCTAAGGAGCTTGGCTGTGAATGTTACCATGACAGGTGAAGTTGCCCCAGAGTCAGCAGTCTAAGATATACTTACTGCTTCCTGAAGGGGGCAAAAGTCATGAACACACACACACGTGCACACACAGCAGCTCTCATTCCTTCCAGCAGGGGGCAGCAATCTCTCCCTCTCTCCCTCTTAAAAACACACATACACACACTCTGAGCAGGGTTCATCCCTTCCAGCAGGGGGCAGCAGCAGGACACACACACACACACACACACACAGCAGAGCTCATTCACTGCAGCAGGGATACAGCAGGAACACACACACACACACATTGTGCACATCCCCTACACGAGGGGGCAGCAGTGATGCACACACACACACACACACACACACACACACACACACACACATATTGTGCTGGTCTCATTCCCTCCAGAAGGGAGCAGCAGGGACACACACGCCTGCCAGTGTAATATTTCTTAGCAATTTCCTCTTTTTTGCAGCACACAGCCATTCCTGGGTCCGGGAGCTCGCTGTGGGTGGGTCCTTCTTCACCATTAATAGCCTCATCTTCCTCATCTCCCACCTCTGCACGAAGGGCAAAGGTAATCGCACATTTCCCTCCCCTCTCCCTGCTTTCGCAGGACCTTGGAGGAGCTTAAACAGATGAACCCTGAAATTTCTCCTCCTGAGTCTCACCTGGCCAAGAGGCTGCTGCTGTAGACAACACTGAGAAGATACCTGTCACCAGCTACACCGTTATATCTCCTCTTCTGACCCCTCGGCTCCACCTGCTGAAATGCAGCCACCTCTGCGGAGGGGCACCTGGGTAACCGCCACCCCTGTAACACTGCCTAGGAATCCCCAAGGCTGAACGGCAGCTGCTTCTTGGGTGGGGCGTGGCAGCTGGCGGGCAGCTGCAGTGTAATGCCACAGAGGGATCGCTCCTCCAGATGCAGCCATCTCTGGGGCGGCCTGCGGCAGCTGTTTAGCAGCTGAATGCAGATGGGAGAGCACTGCAGGCCAGAAAGAAATGTGAATACAGATTCCCAGGGAAGCTGTAGCAGCTCCTCATCTCATCCACAGCTCCAGTGTGATCACTGAGGGGACAGCACCCCTTAAAGGGTCATGCATCCCTCTAGCTGCTACACAGCGCCCCTAGTGCTATACAGGGGCATTGGCGATAGCATTTATTGCGAAGGGAGAGAGCCCCACACTGAGCCCCTTTCCTGCTCCCTGCAACACAGCGCCCCTAGTGCTATAGAGGGGCATTGGGGTCAGCACTAATTGTGAGGGCAGAGCGCCCCCTACTGAGCTCCCTTCCCTGCACCCTGCAGAACAGCGCCCACTACTGAAACCCCACAGTCACCCCCCTACTGGCTTCATCACTTTGCTTGCTCCAAAAAGATACCCCCTCAAAATGTGCCCCAAGCCCCTTTCTTTCTTTGTGATCTGAGCATTGCCATGTGCTTTTCTCATTCTCAGGTTCCAAGGAGGAGCACACAATCGGCTCAGACCCGTTTCAATCAGATTATTACTCAGTCCCGGTTCAGGTGGTCACTGGTCAGTCTGGTCATTCTGCGACCGCCAAGGCAAACCACGTCTCCAGCCCCATGCTCCAGTCCCGTGGGAATAACGAGTACCAGGAAGAGATGTGAAGGCTCAGATACTGACTGTGAATATTCCTCCCCTGCTCACAGATGGCTGGCCAGTTCCGCAGCTCAATTGGGTTTAAGGGAGAATGTTCTGCTCCTGAAATATTACAGACAAACCAAGATGTTACTGTGTGTCACTTTCTCTGCTACAAAGCTGGGAGAAGCCAGATGGGTGTATTCTGAAGAAAGAAAGAAAGAAAGAAAGATTCTATTCTCATTTCTCCTCAGATCTTCCTACTCTATGTATATTCAAGATTATATGAATCCCTGTAAATTCCCCCATCTCCAGCTTTTAAATAAACCTTTTTTTAGACCCCTCTTGTCTCTGACTCTTGTTTCCTTCACTGTGGTTATTTTGTCCCCCACGTGTTGTGTGTCATTGGCCCTACACTGCTGACACAGAAGGGTGATTCTCCTTCAGACCACAGACTGCAACTCCACCCCCTGTTGAGAGGGCCTGCATCCAGCAGTTTCCACCAATTGCTGATCCACCCAGTAGAGCAGAAAACAGCCACCAAGCCCTGAAGTTAGAGGGTGAGAGAGGCAGCCTACAAGGGGTATGGACCGGTCATTGCAGCAGGCCTGCTACAGTTCCCGTCATCTCAGTAATACTCAGGGCCCCAATCCTGCCCCCGAACCTGACACTGAACTCCCTTTTGCCCCCCCTCTCCTCATCCATGTCATTCATTCATTCACCCCCCTCTCCTCTGTCTCCCATATGTGCTCAGCTGGGACATACATGGGGAGCTGACACTCTCAGGGCCTGTCTGGTGCATCATTGTCTCGGGGAGGGGAGTCGGGTCTAGTGGTTAGGGGGAGAAGCTGGGAGCCAGGATTCCTGGGTTCTATTTGATGTTCTCCTCTCTCTGGAGTTCTCCCATCTCTCGCTCTCTCTTTTTCCTTAAGCCGTCCCATCCTCCCTTCGTTCCCAGCCCCGGAATTCTCATCCCCTCCCTTCTATTCTCTCTTACAGCCGCCCTGCAGAGTCCTCCTGGGCCAGTGTCCTCTGCACATAATGCCAACTTCTCGTCTTGCTGAGATGCCCCATTTGGGGTGAGGCTGGCTGTGGGCAGGGGACCCTCTGCTGCTCACACAGTGGGGTTTGGAGGCCCAGCAATGGGGTGTCTGTTAGAGGGCTTTCCCTTCACCCTCCCACTTCCCTGGTTCTTGTCACGCAGACAGCAAGCAGCAAAAGACCAGAAGTCTGAAGAGCAGACACTGCAATGTTTATTGGGGTTAGTTTCCAAGCAAACATATTCCGAAGCCCTTCCCACCAGTTGGACTGCTGTGCCAGTAGCTCATTGATTTGCTGCTGCAATTTTACATTCTGGCTTATCAGTTACTTAGTTACCCAATGGTCCCCCAGATTTCATACACCCAACCCTGTGTTTCCTGCTACCCACAAATTCCTTTTCCAGTGACGATTCCATGTATGTCCCCTCACCCGCTGTCATAAACATACAGCTAAGGGTAGCATAAAAACCCTCTTTACTCTGTAAAGCGTTAATTCCTCTTTTACCTGTGAGGGGTTAAGAAGCTCAGATAACCTGGTTGGCACCTGACCAAAAGGACCAATAAGGGGAGAAGATCCTTTCAAATCTGTGGGGGAAGGTTTTTTGTCTGTGTCTCCTGGAGTCAATAAGGAACCAGGGCAGGGAAAATACATCTCCCTAAGCCATATCTAAACTAAGCATCTAATATTGCAGAAATAGTAAGTAATAGCAAAGAAATGCGTTGGGTTATCTTTTGTTTTAGCTTGTGAATTTTCCCTGTGCTAAGAGGGAGGTTTATCCCTGTTTTTGTAACTTTAAAGTTTTGCCTAGGGGGGAAATCCTCTGTGTTTTTGAATCTTTTGTTATTCTGTAAAGTACTTACCATCCTGATTTTACAGAGGTGATTCTTTTACCATTTCTTTAATTAAAATTCTTCTTTTAAGAACCCGATTGGTTTTTTTCATTGTTCTTAAGATCCAAGAGTTTGGGTCTGTGTTCACCTGCACCAATTGGTGAGGATATTATTCTCAAGCCTTCCCCAGGAAAGGGGGTGCAGGGCTTGGGGGAATATTTTGGGGGAATAGGACTCCAAGTGGTCCTTTCCCTGATTCTTTGTCTAAATCACTTGGTGGTGGCAGCATAGTGTCGAATTTGTGCCTTGGGAAAGTTTTTAACCTAAACTGGTAAAAATAAGCTTAGGGGGTCTTTCATGTGGCTTCCCACATCTGTACAGGGGCGGCTCTAGGCACCAGCAAAGCAAGCACGTGTTTGGGGCAGCCCATTTGCAGGGGCGGCAGGGATCTAGCATGGGAGCTGAGAACCAACAGGGGGCCATGGGAGCTGTAGTTCCTTGGTTAGCTCCCTGCCTATAGAGCCAGCCCTGGAGCAGGGAAAGAACTACATTTCCCAGCATTCCCTTGGCCACTACTAACAGGAAAGAGGGGGAGGGAGTGAGGTAGCTGAGACCTCATGCTGCAGCCTGCTATGAATGGAGAGCTGCACTCTGAAGGGCAGGGATACCATATGTTAACATTCAAAAAACAGGACACTCCACAGGGAGGGAGGGTAGCCCCACCCTGCCACCATCCACCCCCTCCAACTGCCCCCCACAGAAACCCCAACCCATCCAACCCCCCTGCTCCCTGTCCCCTGATCATCCCCTCCCAGGACCCCTGCCCCTAACTGACTCCCAGGACCCCACCCCCTATCTAAGCCTCCCTTCTCCTTGTCCCCAACTGCGCCCTCCTGAGACTACCTCAACTTCCCCCCTAGGGGCAGGGGTCCTGGGAGGGGATGATCAGGGGACAGGGAGCAAGGGGGTTGGATGGGTTGGGGTTTCTGTGGGGGGCAGTCGGAGGGGGTGGATGGTGGCAGGATGGGGCTACCCTCCCATCCCTGTGGAGTGTCCTGTTTTTTGAATGTTAACATATGG